GGGATGGGATGGGATGGGATGGGATGGGATGGGATGGGATGGGATGGGATGGGATGGGATGATGCACCCTTGCAGTTCTGCAGCCTTTCTGTGGCTTTTTTGTGGTGTAATTGACATTTTGTGCTAACTGCTCTGGCTCTTTATTATGCCCAGAGGAATCAGAGGGAAATGGGGTGGGAGACTCCAATGCTCCATGGCCCCTGAGCAGGCACAGAGGAGCGGTGGGTGATGCCAAGATGTGGTGTCTGCCCATCCCTCAGCTCTCTGGTGCTTCCCAGCCTCACCATCCCTGCTCCCAAAAGCCTTCCAGCAGCTCTGGAATATCTCTGTGCCCAGGAAGAGGGGGGAAGCTTTAAACATAAGCACAGTCATAAGTCCTTTCAGGCTCCAAAATTGGATTTTGTCAATCTGATTGAATATTTTTATAACTTCAATACAAAATTCAATGAGAAGCTTTTCCAGTGTGAACCTGCAGCAGTGTCCAGACATTATATGGGGAAAGGGATGGAATCAGGAGAGACTGCCCTGCTGGGGAATCATGGAAATACGGTCCCTCCTTGGAATAATCCTCAGCATTAAGGGCAGCATCACTGAGAACATCATCACTTCTGCAGGTGTGTGGGCAAGGAGCACTCACACCCAGCAGCAGCCAGGGGAGGGAGGTGACAACAGGCACCAGGATGGTGTTTTCCCTCCTCCAGCAGCACAGTGGGTGCTGTTGGGAGGTCCAAGCTCTTTCCAGAGGTGCCAGGCAGAGCCATCACCCAGGCACAGGGAATTTCAAGAGCTGCTGTGGTCAGTATTGCATTCACAAYGTGTCTGAAGGGGTTTTATGAGCACAGTGGGGTTTCACTTGAGGGTCCCTGGTTCTGTGATTCACTTCAGACAGGGAGGAATGGTTTTAAATGCAAARAGGAGKGATTTAGATTAGATATGAGGAARAAAWTCTTTAYTGAGRCACYGGCACAGGTTGCCCCAGAGAAGCTGTGGCTGCCCCTGAATCCCTGGGAGTGTCCAAGGCCAGGCTGGACAGGGCTTGRAKCAMCCTGGAATAGTGGGAGATGTCCCTGCCATGGSACAGGCTGTGAGCAGGTCCCYGAAGTGCCAATTTTCCATCACTTACAGTGCCAGGAACCAGAGCATTATAAAGCCAGAACCCTGAGCCCTACCCACAATCTCCCTGTCAGGACCTCACAGCCATTTACTGGAGCTTCTTCCTCTTTATCACCAGCTTAAAACTCCTTCCTATTTGGAAYTTATCAGTGCAGTGCATCTTCCCTGCTGCAGGAAGCTCAGTTTCCACCATCCTGAAGGTGGAAATCCCTCAGGAGCACCAGCAGGCAGTGCCCACCCTGCACAAGGGGACTTGGTGTGTGCTCCTGGGTGGGGCTTGCCTGTCCCCAGCCCTGCCACTACATTTTACTGCTCCCTGGTCTTGAAGAGGGTCTGAAACAAGTKAAATGGAGCKTTTTCCTCTYACTTTAGGGTTYTGTGAGAGCAMTGAAGAGCACAGTGAGTTCCAGACTCCAGGCTCCTGTGCTTCCCCGTTGCTCTGTAGTCAGATGTTCTCAGTACAAGACCTTACCGAGTACACAACAACTGTGGAGGAACACCTCTTTTTTTTTTTTTTTTTTTTTTTTTTTTTTT